GTTAGTAAGCTGACCAAGTCACTTAATTGCTCCATTACATTTTACCCCTCTATGTGTGTTTTTCAGGATTTCAAGACGGGGATGAAGATTGGTGGAGGGCATGAAGCCGGTGGACTGTATTATCTTGATGGTGGTGGAAGAATGTCAACAGCCCTTCAATCATCTATCTCTCCTCTCCAGTGGCATTGTAGATTTGGTCATCCTTCGCTGAAAGTGTTAAAGTCTTTGGTTCCTTCGCTGAGTCAACTTTCTGTTCTAGATTGTGAGTCGTGTCAATTTGGGAAACACCATCGTGTTCCCTTTAGCTCTAGGGTTGATAATCGTGCATTGAGTCCTTTTTCTTTAATTCACTAAGATGTTTGGGGTCCTTATAAAGTGATGTCATATAATGGATACAGATATTTTGTTATTTTTGTTGATGACTTTTCAAGGATGGCGTGGCTCTATTTAATGAAGGAAAGAAGTGAATTATTTACCATCTTCTAGAAATTTTATGCTGAGATTCGCAATCAATTTGGCGTTCACATTAAAATTTTCCGTTCTAATAATGGCCGTGAATATTTGTCTTCATCTTTTCAAGAATACTTGGATCAACATGGCATTATACACCAAACTTCATGTACTTACACCCTACAACAAAATGGGGTGGCTGAGAGAAAGAACCGGCATCTTTTAGAAACGACACGCTCCCTCATGCACCACATGAATGTTCCCAAACCCTTTTGGAGTGATGCGATGCTCACCTCTTGTTTCTTAATTAATCGAATGCCCACGTCTATCCTTGATGGTCGTTCTCCTTTTAGTGTCTTATTCCCCAACATGTCTCCGTTTCCGCTTTCTCCTCAGGTATTTGGGTGTGTCTGCTTCGTCCATAATCTGGGTCCTGGGAACGACAAGTTAGATGCACGATCCCTTAAGTGCATATTTCTTGGCTATTCCCGGACTCAGAAAGAGTACAAGTATTACCATCCCAGTTCTCGTTGTTCCTTGGTATGTGTTGATGTTACCTTCTTTGAGTCTACTCCGTTCTTCGTGGGGTCCGGTGATGCTTCTTCCTCCACATCACCTCCTCCTCTTCCCCTTCCTATGGCTGATCCTCTTCCTCTTGTTCTAGACGTGCCTATGTCCTTGCCTCCGGTGCCACCGCCTGTTGACCATCCACCTATCCGTCACGTGTATACACATCGCCCACGTGTACCGGCTGCGACTCCTCTGGCTTCATCACCGTCAACAGATCCAGCTCCAGACCCGCCACCAGCCTCCGACCTTGATCTTCCTATTGCCTTACGGAAAGGTAAACGCACTTGTACCCTTCATCCTATTTCCAATTATGTTTCACTTACTCACCTTTCTGCCTCCCAT